ACAGTCGTCTCGAGAGGACCTAGAAGGACAGAGTGCATCACCTTAATGTCTTAAATGAGGTTATATGTGCTATAAATAAAACAGGGTGAAGGCAATTCTAATGGTAGTACCACATCATCCCCAGCAGCAGACGATTTCTTTGGTGCGCTGAGCGCGGCGTTAAGGAGAAGCTCTGTTGTATTCACAAGAGAGGTCACTGTGATGTTGCTCAGGGGGGCTGGAGCACCACTGCTCACGCTGGTAAGTAGGGCGTTAGTTAACTGTCCGGCAAACAAAATACACTCGGCAGTTTTGAAGTTTGGCGAGGTGGTGCGTTGACTCTTCAACAGGTGGATATGCTGATAGACGCGCTTGCCAATGTTTTCAACAGTAGGGTCCTCTATTTGGTGCAGCAACCAGCTAGCAACCCAGATCCAACTGGAGCAGAACCAAACCTGATCAGCGCTAGGATCGTTCTCGACGGCAGTGTCCTGCCACCAGTCAGATACAAGATCTGACGGGAAGAGCAGATTTTCTTCCTCACTGGTGCGTCCACTCGCCACTCTGAAATGAGACAGGCAAAGTCACCAACCGAACGACGTGCACTTCAATGAAAAAGTTTCAAAGACAACAATGGCAACCAATCGGTACTAAACTCTGTAGGTGTCCAGGAACCCTGGAACACACGGGACCGGGCTGTGTACGTAATTTCAGGAAGCGCCGTTTTGGTATAAACAATTTAGATTTCAACACCTGCACAATTTAGCCAGGCTCTTACCTGAACGCTCCCGTAGCAAATTAACAGAGAAGTAGATATAAAAGGAAATGAGGATTAGCACCTAAATGGTGTGATAGCAGGCGTCACCGACATGTAAACCTTCGAAAACTTCATTGCCATGCTAGAAGAGGTCGTCTTTCGTGAGAAGTGCACGGAAATTGACATGCATTACCGAAACTATGGGAAACCAGTAAACATTTCAGGAATATTAACCCAAAATGAAGGTATTCACGGCTGAGACCCACAGTCTTCGAGTTGCAGACTACTACGGACGATTACTACCGCAGGCAGTTAAGGATAGAGCACTAACTGGATGACCGTTGGCACTGAAGAGACCGAGGCCATGCATCAACCGACGCCACCTATTTAACAAACGAACCCACGGTGGATAAAAATTGCCGGCGAGGAGAAGAGAGACTGGGATGGCCAGTTCTGGCTCAATAACAGTCATCATTCAGTCATACCCAACCCTAGGTGGTGCATCGGCCGAGACTCGAACCCGCGACTTGTTGATCAGAAGTCCAGAATGATCATTTCTAGTTTGTTAGCCGTCGTCAGCCGGTCATATCCAGCCTCAAGTGGTGCACCACCCGATGCTGGAACTCGCGACCTTCATCGATCAGAGTCTAACGTCCTAAACACTGAACCATGAGCTCGTTGTATTGTCGATTTAGGTCGGGAGATAGTAACACTCTTTGATGAACGTTCACCAATTATGATTATGAATACTACAACTTAGCCAATGTAGTCATTCCTAATGGAGAATAAATTTCCGGATTTCGGTTAAAATGTCATGTAATCGGTCAGTGATTGTACTGCAAGCCCCATCATATGTAAGCTATTTCTTCCTGTTGCTGTTTCTAATTCTGAGCTGGAGAACTGGACTGAAATATCAGATGAATAAAATTCACACCACAGCAATCGATTCTTGTGTGTTTCAACTGCTTACTTAAAGCCTCTCCTTCAAGTTTATTGGTAGTTCAACCGACGCTGACTAAACGCTACAGTCGCGCCTGAAGGTGGGCATACCGGTAAGAGACAGCGAATATCACACCAGACTCCACAAAACGTACAAGAGGTCAACCTCTAGGGGGAAATGAAAACACATAGAGGGCTGTAGTAGTAGTAGTAGTAGTAGTAGTAGTAGTAGTAGTAGGGGGTAGGATAAAGGAAACAAGGACGAAAAGGAGAAAAAAATTAAGAAATGATTAGGTATGGGGATGACAAATGGGAACGCAGAAAGCAATAAATAAAGTTCGCATAGAGTGAAATAGAAGCTTACCTGTACACAGATAACGGGGACGCAAACTGCGATCCAGTTTTCTGCAGAGTAGACAGACCAATTTCATAGAGGCCGGCCGCCCACGTAGCCATCAAATCCCTGCCCGTCAGACTAGTCGGACTGTTGTCGGGCAGGTCAATGAGGCGAGAGAACACGTGGGCAATGCGCAGAATGAGA